CATGCCCTGTCCCGCCAGAGGGTCCTGGAAAGTCCTTATTACATGCGGGAAGTCCTTGAAAAAGCGCCGCAGATGCGGCGACCTGTCTACTTGCCAGGAACTGCCCGAGGAATTCACTATGTGGATGGGCACCGATTACGCGGGGTCCAACAAGTCAAGGAAGTCCACGAGTGGGAGGTAGATGCGCGGGAAACAACACACACCATCAAATCGCGGAGTTCGACCCAGAGTTTCGCGGCACTGTCGGTTGGCGAAGCAGATTATTTTATGGCGCGGCGAAAGGGGCGCCACTTGGGTTAGACATGCATTATGTAATCGGGGAATTTGACATGGAGGCGAAGTGAATCCTGAGGAGCGGTGCCAGCGCTGCAGTGGGCCATGGCCAGCAGGGTAGGGTTAGGAAAGGGGAAGCATTTAGAAGTTTGCCTAGCGCGGTTGCCGGAGAAAGTGAGGAGAGGAGACACAAGAGTAGTCAAGGCTTCTACCGATGAGAATCTGGCAGACACGTTCACCAAAAACGTCGGCAGCGAATTATTCAGGAACACGCATGCGTGACGCAAGTCAGCTCGCGCTTGAAGGTAGACGTCGGCTACTTAAAGGTGAACGCTGGTACGCGCCAGTTACCCAGTGTTCAATGTCCGCAGCTGTTTGAAATCGAGGAGTCTCTACTACTGCTCCCCCAGTTTCCAAGCTCTACCGACTTGCCAGCCGCCGCTATTCACGGTGTCTGACGGCCGCCCCGCCCCCGAGCGCGCGACGTTCTTGGCGGGCCAGGGCGCCGCCGCCGCGGTCGGGCCTCGTCCGGGAGAAGAAGCTTCCGCGAATTATTTCCTGGAGTGCCTGGCCAAACAGAAGTTCGTCAATCGTGGATCACGCGGGCCAAGTGTTCGACGCGACCGAGGATTGCGCCCGCCGCTGCGTCGAGCATGCCGAGACGAAACGTAGCGCGCACCGTGCCGATCTCCAACGGATGGTGGTGGTGGATCGCGACGCTGCGTCAAAGGAGGCGCTCAATGCCAGCGTCCGAGTCACCAGGGTCGACGGAGAGATCAGCGATGTTAACGGCGAACTAGGCCGGCCCGAGGAAACGCGCCAGTTGCTTGAGGAGCAGGTTCACCGGCTCCACGCGGCGCGGGACAGAGCGACGAGGACGCACGGGCTGCGAAACATCACAGGATCGCGAAGAACATGGCCAGGGTCGCGGAATTAGCCAACGACGCCACGAGGGTCGTCCAACGGTAGTCCGATCCAGCCCAGATTCGTGTCAAAGCCAGCGTTGCACCTCAGATAGAGACATCCGACAGGGTGCATTCGGCTATTGCGTCCCCCGCGACATCCAGCGTCGCAGAGGTTGCCGGTCATGCGCGGTCCGCGTCGCCCTCCGGCAACCGGACGTCTGGGCCACCGACCGAGGTCACCGAGGAGGGCGAGTCGGCGAAGAGGCGTAGCTTCTCCAGGTCCACGATGAGCGACCGTTCCCCCGCGGCGATGGCAGGGGCTCCGGCGCGAGCTCTGGGCCGCCGCCCGAGGCGACGGGCTGCGCGTCGAGCAGCGGGCGGGCACCAGCGAGCGGAGTTAACGTGTCTCAGGTGGCGCCCTCGCTGGCGGTTGCGGAGGAGGCCAAAGAGGAGGGCGAGGTGCGGGCTGACCCGCGCCAGCGTCCAGTTCAACCGACGGGCCCGCGGAGGTCCGCCCGTTTGCCGGAGGTGCTACCAGGGCGATTCTTCCACCCCAGGCGGGCGATCGGACGCCCGACGCCGGTTGCGGACGAGCAGATCGTTCGCGACAAGGTCCGCGCCATCCCGAGGTGCCAGAAGCTTCCGCCCTTCACGTGCTTCCGTGATCCACCGCTTATCGGCGACATGCGCGACCCCGACCCCACGGCCATTCCGAATCCGCGCCAGACGATGCGCGAGTCCCGGCGCAATCGCAGCGGCAATTGGATCAGCGAGACAGCTCCCAAGCCACTCTCAGACGCTCGTGGAAGCGAGGTTGCCCGGGACGACTGCGAAGGTTTCCACGGCAGTTGACCATGGCGCCAGTAGAAAGCCCGCCTTCGTCGCAGAAAGCTCTCAGGGCACGGGGCCGAGCAGCGCGAGCGATTCTTTCAAGTTATTTCAACGCTGCAATCCCCGTGGCTATCAGGTGCCCAGGAACCTCGCTGAGCTGCAGCTGCCCGAACTTCACCGCCCGCTCGCGCCCCGGGGTACCGAGCAATACTCTAGACTCCAAGATCTACATCCAGGATCTCCCAGAGCTATAGGAGAAGAAGTTGCTGGAGTTGGTCGCTACCTGGTTCAGCATGCGCTGGCCTGGGAACACGCCCGACCCGCCCATCGTCGGCGTTGCAAAATTTCGCGAGGTGTCTTCGAATAGCCTTGGAGAGATCGCAGAGGGCGCCATGGCCGCTGGGTTCGCCACCCCAGAGCGAGCCGAGCATTGCCTCAAGCTTACCGATGGGTGAGAGGCGTTCTACCAGCAGCGCGACGCCATCGAGCAGTTAAACCAGGGCGAGCTCCAGACAGACCTGGAGCCACCCGAGATTGTCTGGCGCGGGCGGTCTGAGAAGGTTTCGATGTCCACCAGCGTTCGCTCCATCAACGCGCATGCTGACTCGCCGCCTTCGACTGCTCCGGGCGCCAAGCGCCGCGCGAACCACCGCTATAACTTTCTTCTTTGGCAGGCGACGTTTCCGGGTCGCGACTTTGACGTTGCCGCGCAGATGAAGGCAGCCGTTTGTTTGGCAAACCCTAACTGCGGTTACGAGCTCCGCCGCGCGAGGCGCGACAATCTTCGTTCCCGCTGCCACTCGCGCGCACCTGGCCGCGCCCTCTGGGAGGCTGCTGGCCCCCATGGCCCGGCTGCCGACAATGCCGCTAAGTTCAAGGGTCATGTTAATATCGGTTTTCGTTGGACCAGCTTTGAGCAGTTCCAGAACGCCTGGTCGAGCACGGACCAGTGCGACCCCGGCGACGCCGCTGACAGGTTGTTCATGTTGTGGTCCGTTTACCACGGTGGCGACGTGATGAGGGCCGTTGGCCGGCGCTTTCGCCCGTTGTTTCTGGGTTTCGTTAGTGCGCTGATTGGTGAGAGCTACATATTCACTTCATTTCCCTTGAATGTGTCTCCGCATATGATGTTGCAATAGACCAGTCTTGACTCTTATGGTCACTGGAACTCATTGCTTTCATTTCTGCGTGCGCCGCATTCGCTTATGTATTTAAGTGTTACGCTGAATTTGACAGTTCGGCTCTTTTGACCGCTACCCATCCGGGCAACGTTGATATTTCATGTGCCCAGGTCGCTTATTATGTTACGACACTTTCCCGTCACCGATGCGTCCAATACACGTCATTGGGGGGTGCTGATTATAACGAGGGTGACTGGGTCACGACAGTGGTAGTATCATCGCTACGGAACGTGCGTCGCGATCGACGCCGTTTGGCTCAAGTGATTGATCGGTAACGCTCGTGTCGAGCGCATCGGTCCAAGAAAACATCGCCATCGTTCCCGTGCCCATCCTCCCCGAGGATTTGCAGGGGGAGGGTATGAGAAGAGCAGGAGGCGGAGGGGGGTGAAGGAGGATGAGGAGGAGGATGAGGACCATTGTAAACCCAAGATGCTTCAACGTTGTTGCAAACATCTTCCCTCCTGTTTCCTTTTTTTCGTCGGCCCCTACAACTATTTATCTCCATTGCGGGAGGTGCCCCGTCGGAGGACAAACGTCTGATAATCCCCAAGCCTGTCAAAACACAAGCCATGGGATTTCAACACCGCGAACTACCATGATTGTCGCGCCCGGACATTTTGAGATCGTGCCAGAACACAATTTCTGGGATTTTAACCGTACCAACCCGTTCAGCTGTAACACGCTACTTGGGACTTCAACCGTACGAATCCCACAAGTGGTGGTAATTGTGAAAAGCAAACGCGCGCGGCGCAGGGGCGAACACCACACTTTGACAAGGAACCGCCTTCCAAAACGATTGGGCGCGGCGCTGAAGCGAGAGCCACGCTTGGAAAACGGCCCGCCGGCCCGCCTTCCATTGTTGAAGTTGTTGCAATATTTAAGACGAGTGTGCGCAGCGTTCAGGCGAGAACCACATTCTGCACAACGGCCCGCCCTCCGTATTGGATATTGTAACACATTGTTCGGGGGAGTGTGCGCGGCGCTCAGACAAAAACGCAAGTTTGAAAACATCCCGCCCCCCACCTTTGAAATTGGTGTACATTTCAACGCCCCGCCCGCCCCGCCGACATTTTTGGGGATGCGACAAGGAGGAGTTTAGCATATGGAAGGGGAACGTAGGAGGAGGAAGTCAAGAGGAGGAGGAGGAGGAGGACGAAAAGGATGATGATAAAGGGTCAGGATGAGGAAAGGGATGATAAAAGAGAGAGAGAGAGAGAGAGAGAGAAAGAGAGAAAGAGAGAGAGCAAGAAGAGAAGGGGGAAATGGTAATGAATATGAAAATGATGAGGAGGAGAAGGAGCAAAAGCTGGATGAGGAGGAGGAGACGGAGGAGGAGGAAGGTCGGGGAAGAAGGAGGCCGACGAGGAGGATTAATGAGGAAAGGTGAAGAGGTAGAAAAAGCATGAGGAAGAGGAGGAGGAGGAAGAAGAAGATGATGATGATGATGGTGATGATGATGATGATGAGGAGGAGGAGGAGGAGGAGGAATATGCCACTCCTCCAAAGGCTATTGACAACCTGCGCCAACGGCCGACGACGACGACGGCCGAGGACCGACCACGGACGACAGACGACAACTTTGGCCACGACGACGACCGCGACGACGACCAACGGACGGCGGCGACGGCGGCGGCGACGACGACGAAACCAACGGCGATGATAGACGACGACGACGACGGCGACGACGACGACGACGACGACGACAACGGCCACGACAGATGACGGACGACGATGATGGCCACGACTCCGCCGACGACGGCGACGACATACGACGGTCGAAGACGACCGCCACGACGACGGCGACGGCGACGGCGGCGGCGAGGCCCTGGCCGCGGCGACCGAGATGGCCGACGCCCACGGGCACGAGGCCACCGCCTCCTTGCTGAGGGGCTACGGCCTGCCAGGGACCCCCCAGCCGGTCTGATTTCTGCGCGGTTTTTTTCTTCGGTTGTCTTCCTGCCTCTCCCATCCTCCACTTTCCCCCATCACATTCCACTTCTTCCAGTGTCCTCCATCATGCTTTATCGCCCTCCGTCATCCCCACCCTCCTCCATCAGCCTCCATATCCTCCTCCCTTCACCCCCTGTCCTCTATCATCCCTCTCCTCCATCATACTTTTCTCTCCATGCTCCTCAATCACCTTTCATGCTCCGTCGACATTATTCTCCTGTGAAGCTGGCTGGCTAAAGACACTCAGTGCGCCAGCAGCTTGCATCCTTTCTCTCTCTCCTCATCTTGGTCCTCCTCGTCTTCCTCCTCCTCTCCCTCCTTTTCACCACCATCATCTTCTTCATCATCATCATCATCATCATCATCATCAGCATCAGCATCAGCATCAGCATCATCATCATCATCATCGGCATCATCATCAGCATCATCGTTGTCATTATCATCATCACGATCACCATCAACAGCAGCACCATCAGCAGCAACACCGTGCGTAGCCATTTTGGCTCAAGATGGCGTGATCAGGGCGGGTGTCTGGTCCCGTGTGGCAAGTCTTAGCCGTCGCGTCACATGTTGGGTCACATTCCAAATTGACCAAGCTATCAGCGAGGCCTCCGCGGCCACAGTCCTTTCAGTTTCATTGTGTTGTTTTTGACACCCTGTCCCAATCGCTCGTTTGGGAGCCCTGCCTGCGCGGGCTCGACCAATGGCAGGACGTGGTGGTGGTGCTCGAAGTGCCGCGCGAGGTGGTGGCGGCAGGGGCGGCAGAGGAGGACCATTCAGTCCGACAGGCAGCAGTGGCGGCGCACGCAGCCAACCCACAGAAACAGGAGGAAACGCATTTGGCAGCGACGTCGGAGCAGGTCCATCGGCCGACGCCCAGCCGCAGGGCAACGATGAACGTGCACGTCGTCTTGACAAGCTACGAAGCGAGATCCCGAAGCTCGAGGGCGAGGAAGGCGCGGTAAAGGTCCTCACCGCCAAGCGTCGTGAGGCAGAGCATTTCGACTTGGAGCTCGTCGAGGAGATGCCCACGTCATTCAGCCCAGCGAGATGGATCGCAAGCAGAAGAACCAGCAGAGCACGACGAAAGCACCTGATCGGTAGACCAATAGCATCGCGCAGGATATCGACGCGCCTCAGGCCAAGAAGGTCGAGCTCGAGGGCGAGCGCGAGCAGAGCAAGACCACCGAGAATGAGCTCCAGGCCTTCATCGACAATCTCCTGGTCAAGCACCGACGCGAGCGCGATGGGGAAGCTCGCTGACGTTTCGGCGCCAGGGCCGCGGCGGCGGCGGCAACCCCAGAAGCGGCGGGCGACCGCCGCGGAGTGGGGTCCCTCAGCGAGGCTGCGCGCCAACGCTTTCCTCGCAGCCTTCGACCCAGCCATGCTTCGGGCATGCTCAACCCATAATTACCGGAGCAGTGGGGGGCGCGAGTTTGCGAATTTCGACGTCTGGCGCGCGGGGTCGCAGCGGCTGGCTCAGCAGCGGGGCGGGGCGAAGCTGGCGGGGGCGAACAGGAGCTGCGCCCCCCCCGCAGCGGGGGCCCGCGCGGAAGGAGGCGCCGCGCGGCCCGGCGACCCAGCCGCCGAGACCGCCGCCCTTCAGCGGGCCAGGGCGGCAACATTCCCGCAGGGGCTCCGCGCTGCAGAGCTCGAGCGCCGCGGAGCTCGAGCGAAGGGGGAAGCGCGGGCGGCGGCCTTCACCGTCGCCAGGCCCGCCGGCAGCAGCTGGGGCCCGTTCGCCGCGCCCCCGGGCGAGCGGAGCGACCCTCAGCAGGAGATGGCGTCTCAGCAGCGCCTCGGGGGCGCCGCGTGCTTCCAGGAGCACCGCCCCGGCAGCCGCCGCGCGACCGAGCGGGGGCAGCGGCGCCGGGTCGGACGGGGCGCAGCCCCCGCCCCGGGCGTCGCGGCTGCTGGGGCGCAGGAGCACAGGGCGCCCAGCGGCGGCGGCGGGCGTCGCCGCCCGCTCGGCCCACTGCGCGCGCGGCCCTGGCGAAGGAGGCGCCTGGGGGAGCTGCCGCGCGGGCGAGGGGAGGGCAACGGTCGCGCGCGTCAGCGGCGCGGCGTCTGGCTTCCTGCTCGGCCCCGCGCGCTTGGACACGGGCGACGCGGGCGAGAAAGGCGAGTCGGTCGCGCAGGGCGCGGGCGCGGGACTCGCCCGCGCGGGGGCGCCCTGGGCCCTGGCAGGCGATTAGGGCTCAGAGCCCGACAGGCCCCGCGAACGCGCAGCGCGCTGGCTCGGCAAGGTGAGGGGCTACGTCGTCGAATTGGGGGGGGCGCTTGCTGGTTCTCTCTCGAGGAGGCGGCCTCTGTGGCGCACTGGTTCATCGTCGGCGCGGAGATGTTGGGCCAGGCCGCGGGTTGCCGGCGCCTCGACATAGCCGAGCACGGCCTCGCCAACCGTTGCAGGGGTCGCACGGCGGTCGAGCTATCCCTGAAGCGCCGCGGCGACTTCGGCCAGTCTACATGGCCAATGGCCCGAGGGCCTTCCCCGAGCTCCAGCCTTTCGGACCGCCCCCCGACAAGGCATTGGAGCGCGACGCGGTTCGGGCGCAGATCGACAAGAGCGGCGGTTTCGACGACCTCGCCGACGCGCACCAGGCATTTGCGCGGCCGTGGATGACGAGCTCACCCGGGCGCGCCAGATCGACCCTAACGACGGGGCCTTCTACCGAGGGGCCTGGGCGAGCTGATCGGGCAAGAAGCTGGCGCGCACGAGCGGTTGCTTGTCGCAGGTTCGCCTCGAGCTCGGTTCGGTCGTCGCTTCGGTCGAGGGGGCGGCCCGGAGCTGCCGGGCCCGCCCTGGCCCTGAGCGGCGCGAGGCAGGGCGCGTGGAGGCGCGGGCCTTGTTGATGTGCGAGCGGGCCTTGGGGCGCCGAGCGCGGAGCTGCACGTCCAGCCCGAGCAATTCCAACGCGCGCGGGGACAAGGGCGAGCGGGTGGACCTCTGCGCCCAGAACGGCAGCCCTCGGGCGCCCGCTGGGCCGCGCGGGTGGCCCAAGCGCGTTTGCGCCATTGGGCGAGTGGGCAGCCGAATCGGCGGATCGAGGAGGCCGCCCCCGCCCGTTCAGGCCGCCAGCCGAAGCCGAGGCCTTGCCGGGGCCGTCGGCGGAGAGGGCGCGGAACGCAGCCGAGCCCCGAGCCTTTCCGCCGCGGGGCGGGGGCCGGCAGCGACCGTCTCAACCCCGGGAGGGCGGCGGGCCTCAGCGATGCCATGCTGGAGGCCATCATCGATTTCGGCGCGGAGTGCGAGGGGCTCGGCGGCTGGCCAGACGTGATGGCCGACGCGCACGTCGTGGTCGCGCACCCCGGACCCCAGGGCGGCCCTCGGCCCATCGGGCTGCTCGGTTGGCTCTCTCGCCTGCGCGGCCGAGGCCGCCGGCCCGACGCGCGGCGGTGGGATTCCGAGATCGACCCAGGGCTTGCCTGCGCATTCTGGGGGGGCCGCCGAGGGCACGCCGCCGAGGTGGCCGCGTAGTGGCAGGCGCGTCAGTCTGAGGCTTCGCGCTCCTGAGGGGGCGGCGCAGCTGCAGCGGCAGTCGACCCAGGGGCGGCGTGCGAGCTGGTGATTTGGCCACCGTCCAGGATCGGGGCGTCTTGGTCGAATATCCACGAGGCCTCCAGGCCATGGCCGCCGCTCTCTACGCATGCGAACGTCGCTTCCTGTTGGGCGGCAGCGCATCAGAGGCCTGCCATCTCGACGCTGGCCTCATCGCGGGCTGCTCCAACGCGGGCGGGCTCTTGAAGTGCGGGCTCATGGTCCTTGCGGACGAGTGCGCGATACCGCGGGGGGTGCCGGGGCCCAGAGCGACGCCCGCGATCGCGGCGGGCGAATGCCGCGTGGGCTGCCGCGGCTCCACGGCGCAGGTCGCAGCGCGCGCGGCGCAGGCAAACAATGCGGTGGCGGCCCGATTCAGGCCCTGGGCTGCAGAAGGCGAAGAGCGAGCTCCTCGCCGAGCTTGCCGCCGCTCTGGTCGCCGAACGCATGGGCGGCGTGGCTTTCCCCGTCGCCGATTCCGCGCAGAATGCGGAGGTGGGCTACTGCCTCGACGGCCAGGCCTTCGTCGTCCATGAGAAGCGCTACTCGGAGGCGGCGTCGCAGCTGCAGCGGCTGCGCGCTGCCCGCTCCCAGGAGACGCCGGCGCGGCGCGGGTCGCACGCGCCTGGCCGCTCGACGCGGCCTCGGCGCGGGTGGCTGGCCCACCCCGCAGCTGACCAAGTGGGGGGGGCAGGTCAATGCCGCCCACCGCGGCCGCGGGCGGTGGACAAGTCTCAGCCTCAGTTTCCTGGTCGGCAAGCGCTTCTCGAGTGACCCATCGCAGGGCTGCGTCGCTCTTCTCATTGCGGCGCGGGACAAGGACGCGCAGTTCAATGCCAACGGCCAGCACTTGCGAGCCATGGAGAAAGCGTTCGCGGGCGCCGTCGCACCGCCCGCCGCCGCCCGAGGCGCTGACAGGACGAGGACCAGCTGCGGCACGGGCGCTCGCGCGTCGCCGCTTGGGCTGGCCGGCGGCTCGACCTGGTCTGCTCATCAGCGGCCAGCAGCGGGGGCTGGACTGGCGCGCGCTCGGCGTTTCCACCGCGTCGAAGCACGTCGCCGCAGCTCATGGGGGGGCGCCTTGGAAAGCGGCGGGCAATCACCCGGGCCTCGGGCACCTTGCAGGGGGAGGCGCGCTGGCCAGCATCAGGCGCATTCTTCATCGCGGGCGCGTGGGCGGGCAGACGGCGAAGGAGCTCAGCTCGGCCGCGGGCGCTTTCGTCGGCTGCCTCTGGCCTGCGGCGCGCCGGCTCGAGATTGATCGGCCGCTCGCATCGTCGGCCCGGCGCCCGCGGGGATGCGCGGCCCGCGTCGCGGTGCAGCACTTGGCGCGGCAGCGCCCTGCGACGGCCGCGGGCCGCGCGGAGTGGGAGCCTGGGCTACGCCGCTCTGGCCCCGCGCGCTCGCGCCGGCGACGCCGCCGTCCGCGGCAGAGCGCGCGGCCGCGAAGGGCGGCGGGGCGGACCTTGCCAGCATGCCCT